GAGTCCAGCGTCGTAGCACGGAGCTGTGACGACCACGCCATCTGTGGGTCAGCTCCCGAAACCCCCTTCAAATGGACGATGCCATCTAGTGAGGACGAGATATACCGGCCACAGGGGCTGGTTTCCCGCCTTAATCAGCTCGTGACATAGCCGCTGCTGACCTCTGGTGAGGTGGCGCTTAGACAGCAACGCCATCAACGCCGGACGAGCGCAAAAGACTACAAAGGGAACTACAAGATGAGTTGCAAGATCTATGCAAAACAGAGTACACCAAAAAATGTGATGACCTAATAAGCAATATCCAAGTCGACTACAGAAACCCAGGAAAGTTCTGGAAAAAAGTAAAGACCCTGATGGGAAGCTCTTCTGAGGAAACACCCTACATCATAGACGCCTCAGGAAATAAACTCTATGAGGAGAGAGAACAAGAGCAGGAATTCAGGAAGTTCTGGGGTAAAATATTCAGGATAAACCCGGAAGAAAATTTAAATTTTTGCCCAATTAATGAAAGGGAAATTACAACTCAAGTCGATAACAGAGCTGCAGCACTACTCCCGACGCAAACAATAGACCTTAACAACATACGCGATGACTGCCACCTTATGAAACACATAACCATTGCGGAGGTCCATAAAACAATTATGGGTTTCAAGAACAAGGCGCCGGGCAACAGCAAAATAAATAAGATGGTATTATCCAACCTACCAGTGATTGCACTCCATCAATACACATGTATAATAAATGCAGCTCTTGCATCTGGACTATTCCCCACATACTTCAAGAATGCCACAATAAGATTACTCCCCAAGCCAGGTAAACCCCCAACCCAAACTGAAAACTACAGGCCAATTTCCCTCCTCGAAGTACCAGGTAAAATATTCGAAAAAATTATCAATCAGAGACTTGTGAAGTACATGGAAGAGGAAGGGAAGTATAACACCAGGCAGCATGGGTTTAGAAACAGCAGAGGGGCCCATACAGCTATAGCCCTGATCTACCAGCATATAGCCAACGCAGTATCGAAAAAAGATCAGTGTAATATAGTGCTTAGGGACGTCTCGAAAGCCTTCGACTAAGTGTGGCACACAGGCCTAAAATATAAGATATCTGAACTAGGGCTTCCTGAGAGATTTATTGCTACTCTCTGCAGCTTTATAGTATAGACAATAGAACTGCTAGGCTTAATATCGGCAGCTACTTGGGTGACGTAATAGAACTGAAAAGTGGAGTACCACAAGGAAGCTGCCTCTCCCCCACTCTATTCAACATATATACAGCTGACCTACCCCAACCCCAACATGGAGAATACATCACATACGCTGACGATATCACCCAAATAATTTGCCAACCGGGCCCATCAAAGCCGCTACTAACCGACAAGACCAAGACGGCAATTGAACTCATAAACAACTTTGAGAAGCAATGGAAAATTAGCACCAACAAACAAAAGTTTCAGATAATACACATTGCGAAAAAAAACCGGACCCCATCATCCTTGACAACCAGCCGATCCAATATGCGGAGGTAGGCAGAATACTGGGACTTATGATAAATAGAACAGGGATACAAATTCATGTAAAGGACCGACTAAACAAAGCCAAGCAGCATTAGGAAAACTGAGAAGATTCCGAAGCCTCAGTACTAACATTCAGATCCACCTATATAAGGCTCTAGTTCGGCCGCATCTAGAGTATCCCCCAGTACCACTACACACCATAAAGAAAACTAACATGCAGAAACTGCAAGCAATAGAAAATAAGGGGCTAAGGAGAGCAGCAAAACACCGTCCACCATATGATCAGACAATCCAGGAGCTCCACGAACTCCTGAACATACAGCCACTAAACATCAGACTGCAGCACCAAGCCATCAGGGTGTGGAACACCAACGAAATGTTAGAGGACCCAATGTTTGAAAGATTACTCCAAGATGAGACGCCCCGCTCCCACAGCTGGTGGCCCAAGAGCCTCGATTCTCTGGACGAAAACCCCGCCCCACAGTATATAATCCCCAGATGAGTTATATATGTATATATATGAACAGTTCATATATGTGTATGTATGAACAACTCGAAAAATAATATGTATGACAACTCGATAAATAATAATAATAAAATAAAGAGCCTTAAACAGAACAACATGTGTGGAAGCATCGGAGTGTGTATATATGAATGCTACACAGTATTCATCTATGGACATCCATATATGGTGAAACACATGTGAAGAACATAAGAACATAAGAACAAACAGTCTCCGTGGTGTAGTGGTAAGACACTCGCCTGGCGTTCCGCGAGCGCTATGTCATGGGTTCGTATCCTGGCCGGGGAGGATTTACTGGGCGCAATTCCTTAACTGTAGCCTCTGTTTAACGCAACAGTAAAATGTGTACTTGGATGAAAAAACGATTCTTCGCGGCGGGGATCGTATTCCAGGGACCTGCCCGAAACGCTACGCGTACTAGTGTCTGTACAAGAATGTAACAACTCTTGTATATATCTCAAAAAAAAAAAAAACAAAAAAAAACAAAGGCAACTGCAGAAGGCCTATTGGCCCATACGAGGCAGCTCCTATTTATATATAATAAATATGTGGTTATTAATAGGAGCTGCCTCGTATGGGCCAATAGGCCTTCTGCAGTTGCCTTTGTTCTTATGTTCTTATAACCACCCAATCCCACTCATATACTTGTCCAACCCGCGCTTGAAACAATCGAGGGACCCCACCTCCAGCACGTTACGCGGTAATTGGTTCCACAAATAAACAACCTTGTTACTGAACCAGTATTTACCCAAGTCTTTCCGAAATCTAAACTTATCCAATTTATACCCACTGTTTTGTGTTCTGTCTTGTGTTGATACTTTTAATACCCTATTAATATCCCCTTTGTTATGTCCATTCACCCACTTGTAAACCTCTATCATGTCACCCCTAACTCTTCGCCTTTCCAGTGAATGCAACTTAAGCTTTGTTAATCTTTCTTCATATGAAAGATTTCTAATTTGGGGAATTAACTTAGTCATCCTACGCTGGACACGTTCAAGTGAATTTATATCCATTCTATAATATGGCGACCAAAACTGAACTGCATAATCTAAATGGGGCCTAACTAGAGCAAGATATAGCTTGAGAACCACACCAGGTGTCTTGTTACTAACGCTGCGATTAATAAATCCAAGTGTCCGATTTGCCTTATTACGAACATTTATGCATTGATTCTTTTGTTTTAAATTCTTACTAATCATAACTCCCAGTAACCTCTCACACACTCACAGCTCCCTGACAAGAGGGAGCCAGCTTAGCTTAGCTGCCAACACCCACACATCGTGTCAGCAAGGCGGACAGCCCGCCTGCTTTCATACCTCTCACTGTATTTCCCACTTCTATACTTCCCTTCACCTATGCCTCTCCTTCCTCTTTACTCCCCCCCCCAAAAAAAAGGGGCTGGAGGGAGGCCACCCCAGGCTTGGAGGGCCCCCGGGGCTGTTGGGAGGGAGGAGCCGGCGTGGAGGGCCCCCGGGGCTGGCATGGAGGGCCCCCGGGGCTGGCGTGGAGGGGCCCCCCGGGGCTGGCGTGGAGGGGCCCCCCGGGGCTGGCGTGGAGGGGCCCCCCGGGGCTGGCGTGGAGGGGCCCCCCGGGCTGGAGGGAGGGATAGGCTGGCGTGGAGGGCCCCCGGGGCTGGAGGGAGGGATAGGCTGGCGTGGAGGGCCCCCCCCCGGGCGGGAGGGAGGAGCCGGCGTGGAGGGCCCCCCGGTGCTGGAGGGAGGGGCCGGCGTGGAGGGCCCCCCGGTGCTGGAGGGAGGGGCTGGCGTGGAGGGCCCCCGGGGCTGGCGTGGAGGGGCCCCCGGGGCTGGAGGGAGGGATAGGCTGGCGTGGAGGGGCCCCCGGGGCTGGAGGGAGGGATAGGCTGGCGTGGAGGGGGCCCCCCCGGTGCTGGAGGGAGGGGCCGGCGTGGAGGCCCCCCCTTGGGCTGGAGGGAGGGGCCGGCGTGGAGGACCCCCCCCCCGGGGCTGGAGGGAGGGAAGGGCCGGCGTGGAGGGCCCTCCGGGGCTGGAGGGGGCGGCGTGGAGGGCCCTCCGGGGCTGGAGGGGGCGCGTGGAGGGCTCCCAGGGCTGGAGGGAGGGAGGGACCGGCGTGAAGGGCTCCCCGGGGCTGGAGGGAGGGAGGGAGGCCACCCCAGCTTGGAGGGCTCCTAGGCAAGTGGGAGGGAGGGGCCGGCGTGGAGGGGGGCCCCCCCCTCCTTGGCAGGAGGGAGGGAGGGGTGGCCACCCCGGGGCTGGAGGGGGAGAGGGCCGGCGTGGAGGGGCCCCCCGGGGCTGGCGTGGAGGGGCCCCCCGGGGCTGGCGTGGAGGGCCCCCCGGGGCTGGAGGGAGGGATAGGCTGGCGTGGAGGGCCCCCGGGGCTGGAGGGAGGGATAGGCTGGCGTGGAGGGCCCCCCCCCGGGGCTGGAGGGAGGAGCCGGCGTGGAGGGCCCCCCGGTGCTGGAGGGAGGGGCCGGCGTGGAGGGCCCCCCGGTGCTGGAGGGAGGGGCTGGCGTGGAGGGCCCCCGGGGCTGGCGTGGAGGGGCCCCCGGGCTGGAGGGAGGGATAGGCTGGCGTGGAGGGGCCCCCGGGGCTGGAGGGAGGGATAGGCTGGCGTGGAGGGGGCCCCCCCGGTGCTGGAGGGAGGGGCCGGCGTGGAGGCCCCCCCCCTGGGCTGGAGGGAGGGGCCGGCGTGGAGGACCCCCCCCCCCGGGGCTGGAGGGAGGGAAGGGCCGGCGTGGAGGGCCCTCCGGGGCTGGAGGGGGCGGCGTGGAGGGCCCTCCGGGGCTGGAGGGGGCGGCGTGGAGGGCTCCCAGGGGCTGGAGGGAGGGAGGGACCGGCGTGAAGGGCTCCCAGGGGCTGGAGGGAGGGAGGGAGGCCACCTTAGGCTTGGAGGGCTCCCTAGGCAAGTGGGAGGGAGGGGCTGGTGTGGAGGGGGGCCCCTCTCTCCTTGGCAGGAGGGAGGGAGGGGTGGCCACCCCGGGGCTGGAGGGGGAGAGGGGCCGGCGTGGAGGGCCCCCCAGGTCTTGAGGGAGGGAGGCCACCCTAGGGATGGAGGGGATGTAAACACAAGCAGCTCCCTGGACCATGTGGACACAAGACAACACTCCCGGTAACTCTTCCTCTCTTGACTCCTGACCCCTGATGTGTAGCAGGTGTGTGGCACAGGTGTGTCGCCGCACATATGGAGGCGAGGAGAGCCAGGTGTGTGGCCGGGGAGACCGCTGGTGGCCACCAGAGCCGTGGCCGCCACTCCTGGCTACCAACAATGGCTGCTGCTCTTTCACCAACACCTTCCCTCACAAACATCCTATAAATGGCCCCCAAACTATCGTAACCTTTTAAACTACAAGATCAAGGTCATCGGGACCAATGGTGGGGAGCTTGGACAAGCCGCCGGCTTGTCCAAGGTCCTCGTCGATGGCTCCCTAGAGTTAGTGGCCCCCAGGTGAATTTGGTAAATTAGTATATGACAATATAATAACAGCCTCTTATATAACACTATGGGGACGAGTGAGGTTAATATGTGTGTGTAGGACAGCTTGTGGTGGTACATGGTGGCATAGTGGCCAGCCACAGTGGCCAGGCATTGGCCAGGCACAGTGGGGCCACTGCACTTGTGGCCCCACTGTGCCTGGCCACTATGCCACCATATACTGCCATAAGCTCTCTTACACACTCAAATCAAAATCAAAATGTTTATTCGTGTCAAAGTACATACATAGAAGATGAGTTACAAACATAATGTAGGATTTATAGATAGATCAAGTACATACAATACCTAAACCACTAGTACATGCTGCGTTTCTGGCAATACTAACCTTACTTATCCCATATTTGTTATATAAGGGTGTTATATTTGTTGGTCGAACCCTTGTTAGAATCAAACCAGATTATCGATTGGGTTAAGCCATATGTTGCGTTTCCACAATGGTCGCCCAAGTTAAAAATGAATGCCCCAAGAATATTGTTGAATACATCTTGATAACCTATTAAACCAAAAATCCAAAAATTTTTAATGTTAGGTTAGGTCAGTGTTTTACCACTGCGCCATGGGAACTTCATATCTGTGGGGAAATTATGAATGTTAAAATCAGCATTCGCCGATTTTAACTTGGGCGACCTTTGTGAAAATGCAACACATGGGTTGACCCAATTGCTACTTGGGACCGATTTTATTATGGTTCGGAACATTGTTACATACTATTTACCTAATTCATCTGGGGGCCACTAACCCTAGGGGCCTCAACGAGGACAGCACGCTGGCTGTAGTTTAAAGGTTAACAGAGTTTTGGCATTTACGACTTGGGCGGGTAGGCGGTTCCATGGGTTTAAACCCTGTGGGTGAAAACACATCTGTTCTCAGTTCTACATTGTGGCTTACTTGATAAGAAAATATTACATACCTCGTGCTATTTATATTTAAAACTAAACTGTAATAGATATTGTGAACATATATATGTATATATATATACAGTGGTACCTTGGTTTGCAAATTGAATCCGATACCAGAGATGGCTCGTAAACTGAAAATTTGCAAACTAAAATGAATTTTCCCATAAGAAATAATGTAAATTCAATTAATCCGTTCCACACTCCCAAAAATATTAACTTCAAAATACATTTCACATAATATTACAAATATTTTGTACTACAGTATGTACAAGTTATAGCTTACCTTACCGTGAGGTTACCTTGAGGTATTTTCAGGGCTTAGCGTCCCTGCCTGCGGCCCGATCGTCAACCAGGCCTCCTGGTTGCTGGACTAGTTGACCAGCCTGTTGGACACAGCTGCTTGCAGCCTGATGTATGAGTCACAGCCTGGTTGATCAGGTATGCTTTGGAGGTACATGTCATCTTTTGGGTTGCTTGTCATCCTTTGGAGGTGCTTGTCAAGTTCTCTCTTGAACACTGTGAAGGGTCGGCCAGTTATGCCACTTACGTGTAGTGGAAGCGTGTTGAACAGTCTCGGGCCTCTGATGTTGATATTGTAGGGTTCTTTCTCAGAGTACCTGTTGCACCTCTGCTTTTCAACGGGTTATTCTGCACATCCTGCCATGCCTCCTGGTCTCATGTGATTTTATTTCTGTGTGCAGGTTAGTGACCAGCCCCTCTACTGTTTTCCATGTGTAAATTATTATGTATCTCTCCTGCCTGTGCTCAAGAGAATACAGATTTAGGCTCTTTAGTCGGTCCCAGTATTTTAGATGTATTACTGAGTGGATTCTAGCAGTAAAGGATCTCTGCACGCTCTCCAGATCAGCAATTTCTCCAGCTTTGAAAGGGGCTGTCATTGTGCAGCAGTACTCCACTCTAGAGAGCACAAGCGTTTTGAAAAGTATCATCATCGGTATAGCATCTCTAGTGTGAAAAGTTCTTGTTATCCAATCTGTCATTATTCTTGCAGTTGTGACCACTACTTTATTGTGTTCTTTAAAAGTAAGGTCTTCCGACATGAGTACATCCAAATCCTTTTCATTGCTTTTTCGTTCTATGTTATGATTTAACTGCGTTTTGTACGTGGTTTCTGCTTTTATACTTTCATTTTTTCCACAGTGCAAGAGCTGGAACTAATATTCATTAAATACTGTACTATGTTATTTTCTATAGTCCATTAAAAGACCTGGTTTACATCTGATTGGAGGTTTACTGTGCTCTCTATTTTGTCTACTATCATAAAAATCCTAGTGTCATCTGCAAAGGATGATACAGTGCTATAGATTGTGTCCTTGTCTATGTCCGATATGAGGATGAGGAAAAGTACTGGAGCAAGCACAGTACCCTGGGGTACTGAGCTCTTCCCGGTTGATGGTCCGGATTTTTATTTTGTTGACTATTACACATTGGGTTCTATTAGTCAGGAAATTGTAGATCCATCTGCCTATTTTTCCGGTACTGTAATTACTTTTGAACGCATTTTGTGTGCAATAACACCATGGTCACATTTGTCAAAGGCTTTTGTGAGATCTGTGTAAATTACATCAGTGCTTTGTTTCAGCGTGTCTTCCATGGCATCTAATGCCATGTCATAGTGGTCCAGCAACTGTGATAGGCAAGAGCACCCTGTTCTGACCCCATGTTGTCCAGGGTTATGGAGATGCTGTGTTTCCATGTGTTTTGTGATATTATTTCTTAACATTCTCTCAAAGCTTTTTATGATGTGTGATGTTAATGCTATCAGTCTGTAATTTTTTGCCTCTGCCTTATTTCCTCCTTTATGGAGTGGTGCTATCTCTGCTGTTTTCAGTATGTCAGGGATAACGCCAGTATCTAAGCTTTGTCTCCAAAGAATATGAAGGGCATGCGATTATGTTTTTTTACAGTTCTTGATGAATATAGAGTTCCAGGAATCAGGGCCTGGTGCAGAGTGCATAGGCATATTGTCTATGGTTGCTTAAAATCCAGTGGGGATAGGGTGACAGCTGATATATGATTTGATGTTGGTGTCATATCCATGAAAAATTCATTTGGATTATCAGTCTTCAGTGTGCTTAGTGGCTCGCTGAAAACACTCGTACTAATTCCTCAGTATTTCGCTCATTTCTTTGTTGTCATCATTGAATGTTCCATCTCCCTTTCGCAGGGGCCCAATACTAGATGTAGTTTGATCTTGATTTTGCATAGGAGAAAAAATATTTTGGATTTCTCTCTTATTTCCCTGATGTCCTTTTGCCCTTTTTGCCTCTCCTGGGTTTTGTATGATTCTTGTAGCTTTAGTTCAATTGTTTCTATTTCTCTATCTAACCTTCTTCGCTTGAGATAGGGTGTGACTCTCAAGCTGCTCCGTGATTCGTTTTCTTTGTTTATAGAAGGAACGACGTTCCCATTCCAATTTGCATCTCTTCCTTTTTTTCTTAGGGGTATGCAGTTTAAACATATTTCTAGTGCTACTGAGCTTATTTTTTCAGGACCTGGTTCAAGTTTGCATTTTCTAGCTGTTCTTTCCAGTGTATTTTTGTGAGGTCTTGGTTTATTTGCTCTCAGTTTATCTGTTTATTATTGAAATTGAATTTTCTGAAATCTCCTGTACTGGGAATCAGGACTGGTTTTGAAGGTCTATTCCCCATGCTTGTCAGAACTTCAATTTTTTTTTTTTTTTTTTTTTTTTTTTTTAGATATATACAAGAGTTGTTACATTCTTGTACAGCCACTAGTACGCGTAGCGTTTCGGGCAAGTCCTTAATCCTACGGTCCCTGGAATACGATCCCTTGCTGCGAAGAATCGTTTTTTCATCCAAGTACACATTTTACTGTTGCGTTAAACAGAGGCTACAGTTAAGGAATTGCGCCCAGTAAATCCTCCCCGGCCAGGATACGAACCCATGACATAGCGCTCGCGCAACGCCAGGCGAGTGTCTTATCACTACACCACGGAGACTGTAAAGTCTCAATTAAGTTGTGATCTGAGTAACAGGTATTTGTAATCATTACATTCCTGATCAATTCCTCATTATTAGTGAAAATGAGGTCCGGCGTGTTCTCCTTTCGAGTTGGTTCTACTATTTGCTTGTTTAAGGCAAACCTGTAGCACATCCGTAGCAGGTCATTTGCATGTGACTTCATTTAGGCTACTTCCCGGAATTCTCTCTGATATAACTGTATTAGCTATGGTCTTCCATTTCAGGTGCCATAGGTTGAAGTCCCCTAGCAGGATGATGTTTGGGGCTGGATTTGTGAGGCTTTCTAAGCAGTGTTCTATTTTCATTAGTTGATCTTTAAATTGCTGAGGATTTGCCTCTGGTGACTTATATACAAGGACAATAGCTACATTTAAGATTTCTATTTTGATTATCAATACTTCCACAATATGTGTTGTGGTGTTTAGGAGCTCAGTACATATGAGTGTGTCTTTGATGTACAGGCTGACCCTGGTTTTTTTACCCTGAATGTTGGCAAATAAAAATGAGGTCATGTTTGTGGAAGTGCTGGATGCTTTACTTAGTGTTAATATCTGAGGCTCTGGTAGGAAGGCCACTGTGTTTGCGTCCTCTTTAGCATTTGACCAAGTTAATGGTAGAGTCTGAACATTTTTTAGCCATTCTTCTCCTCCTCCTCTTTCTATAAAAAACATTCTGGTAATTAGTGTTGTAGCTGATTTCATCGAGGCGGTTTGTCGATCTTATTCACCTGGTACCTTTTATATGAAAAGCTGGACATTCGTATTTAATGAGTTCTTGCACAGTTCTGGGTGAAAGAAATCACAGCTTTTGGTACATTACCAGTACTAAGAAGGTTTCTGCACTTTCTAGAATGATCATATTTACATATTCCATTTGTTCTCCCCGATATCCCATATTTACGGATTCCCTATTTATTATATCGACAGGTTTTGGATCCTTGTTTTGTTTGTTTTAAAAACCATGGCACTACTATCGCGCCCGGTTCAGGCACCGACACCTCGTTCGACCCCAACATCGCCTCTGGCGCCAACATTGCATTCAGCTCTGGCGCCAACATTGCATCCGGCTCCGGCATCACCATCACATCCGGCTCCGGCGCCAACTCCCAGAAAGTGGCAAATTTCATTGCATTCAATGCTGTTTTTTTTTATGTATCATTTCACAAGCTTCCCAACTCCTATCACCTTGTAGACCAAAAAGTTGATTCCTTCCTCATTCCTACCCTCACTTAAACTTTTTTCTTTGACGAGGTTCAATTTGAGCTTCTCTCTGCCTTCCTTTGAAAGATCTTGTCCTCATGACCAGTTTCCCATCCTCATCACTTTGCAATTCCCTAACATTCCTGAGTACTTCTGTTTAGCTCCATTTAGGGTAATCCTAATGGTCAGTCTTTTCCTTTTTCATACCTGTCAGTTCTTCTGTAATCAAAGACAATCGTTGGTTGTAAAGTCCGTACACTAACCTAATAGTTTGATCAATGGCTACTCCTTTTCTGTGGCTCTTTCTGATCTAGATGTCATTTGGGTGCTTGATTGCATGCTTGTGCAAATAAATAAATTTTCTTCAGGTTCCTCAGGTTCGCACAGTCCCGAAACAGGACTGTGTGAACCTGAGGTTCATTCTGGACTTGGCCCATCTAAACCCCTGGGTCTTTTGCCCCCTTTTTTCCGGATGACTACTCTGTCCCAGGTCCAGCTTCTGTTGGAGCTGGGCACTTGGATGGTATCTCTGGACCTCCAGGATGCGTATTGGCACATCCCAATTCATCTGGGGGTTGAATCATCCAGTTTTGTTGTTGGGTGTCTTGGTTACTGTTTTTGTTGTCTCCCGTTCGGGTTGAACCTGGCACCTCGCGTGTTCACACTCCTTACCCGGGTCGTGGTGGCTCGTCTGCATCTCCTAGGTCTTCAGATGCTGGCCTATCTCGACGACTTGCTGGTCTGGGCTCACAGCCAGTCCGCGTGTCTGCTCACCAGGGATCTGGTTCCCAGCTCGCCGGGTTCGGGTTCCTGGTGAACTGGCAGAAGTCCCATCTGGTTCCCTCTCAGGTTTGGACTTGGCGCTGGGTCTTGTGTGGGACTCTCGAACCGCTTGTTAGTCTCTCCCTCCGGAGTCTCTGTTTCTGCTGCGCTCCTGCCTTTGCTTGTTTCTGGGAGGGCTCCCGGGTCACTCGACGGTTGCTCGAGGGTTTGTGCAGGAGCCTGAACTTTGTCGTGGTAGTCTACCTGCCGGGTCGGGTTTGGTTTCATCGGCTGTTCTGGTTCCTTCGGAGTCGTCCCTTCCGCCTCTCTCACGTACTGTACGCTGGGTTTGGGCTCCGGGGACTTTGCATTGGCTGCTGTGTTGCCGGCTTCTTCTTCGGGTTTTTCAGGGTTCAGTGCCTTGGTGCCTACCCGAGCCTTCGCTCGATGTTTTCACGGACGTGTCGTCTCTTGGCTGGGGCTTTGTGACCAGTGCTCACCAGGCCGGCCAGGACCCCCGTGGTGGGGTCCATCCTTCTGTTGGGCCCACAGCAGGGTGCGGGAGTTCACAGCAGTATGGATGTCACTTCAAAAGGTTCGGGTCCCTCGTGGATCGACGATCAGGCTCCATATGGACTGCTACCCCCGGTGGTTCGTTGCCTGAACCGAGAGGGTTCGATGCAGTCCTTGGCTCTTTGGGGCTGGTCGCTTCGGGTGACTCATCTGCTGAGTTCTCGGGGCTTGGCTCTCCTGGCCATTCACATTCCGGGGGTGTCCAACATTCTGGCCTGTGTCGATTCATTTCCCTGTCCTTGGAATGGATGGTCGACACCGACTCATTCAGTTGGCTCTGCTGGACGTACGGGCTCACGGAGGTGGACCTCTTCGCATCGGTGTGGTCAAGTCGTCTCCTGGTATATATGGTACCCACTGCGAGGTTGTCGAGGTTGAATGTTTTGCAGCAGGACTGGTTGAGGTGGGGTTACCTGTACCTCTTCCCCCCCCCCTGGTTCCGCTGTTACTCCAGGTCCTAGCTCGCTTGGAGACTCGGCAGCAGTATAAAGTCTCGGCGGCAGTATGAAGTTTCCTGGCAGTCCTTCCATTTTTTTTTTCTCTTTGTAGGTATACTTCCCTTTCTGTTAAGGTGGTCTTGTCCTTTCTCTCGTGGCTGCTTCAGGACCGTCATCTTATGCTGAATACTGTTGCCTCGTTTTGTGCGGCGCTGGTGGAGCCGCTACAGCTTGCTTTCGGCATCGATGTTACCTTTGTGCCGTGTCTCAAGCTGTCTCGGGCATTGTTTCACCTCCGGCCTACTCACGCGCTGCCTGAGCTGTCCTGGTTGTTGGACAGAGTGCTCTCTTATCTCTCTTCCCCTCAATTTGTTGTGACCCTTCGGTTCAGGATTCTCTCTCCAAGGCTCCAAGGAACCCACACCTTGGCTCCAAGGTGTGGGTTCCCAGCACAAGGGGTCTGGGGCTCCCTCTTTCCCCACCTGGGGAGGGGGGAGCTGCGCAGACGGTAGCACAGCAAGTGGTGACGTCATGCTCGTTTGCTTGTTTTTCTTTGGGAAGTTCTGTCCATTCATTTGCTTGTTTTTCTTTGGGAAGTTCTGTCCATTCATTTGCTTGTTTTTCTTTGGGAAGTTCTGTCCATTCATTTGCTTGTTTTTCTTTGGGAAGTTCTGTCCATTCATTTGCTTGTTTTTCTTTGGGAAGTTCTGTCCATTCATTTGCTTGTTTTTCTTTGGGAAGTTCTGTCCACTTTTGACTTTCAGTAGTAGTTTCAACCAGAATAAGGGTTTGTTTTGGGATCCGTACCATTCTGGGTGCCTGACTCCAAATCACATATGCATTTTCTAGGCCATTTCTCCTCGTGCCTCTCTAAGGGGGTCCAGGTTCTGGCTCGTGGTCCCCGGTAGGCCTAAGAACTCCTAAGATCAGGAGGAGGAACTCTATTCACAATCCATTCACTGATGCCAAAGTCTAATACTGTATATCCATATCAGCCTGGATAAGCTCCGGGGAGCCTCTTGGTCTCGCGTAGAAAATGGCGTTTCCTTACATTCGACGCTTTTTTTTTTCCTTTATTACTATTCAAAGTTCCAGGAAAATGTGATCTAACGTATGTATAGGGAATAATTCTAAATTTATTTTGCAGAAATAATGCTGGAAGCAGAAACCATTCAAGATGAAAACAAATTTGAGGAAAACGTTAAAAAGAAAAGATCAAGGCGGAGGAGACGAGGAAGGAACCCGGCAGAAGATTCTACATCTGGACCCAGCACTCTTCAGCCCACTGCTACAGATGTGAAGAGTGAATTACCCTTACAAAATGAAGAAGAAAACAAATTAGAAGGACATGTTAAAAAGAAAAGATCGAGGAGGAGGAGAAGAGGAAAGTACCCGACAGAGGATTCTACAACACCAGGACCCGCTCAAGATCAAAGTATCATTAGCGTTGAGGGAAATAAAGATGGTTGCTTGACTGAGATATCTGCGTCAAGTAACACTGATGGCATTAGTGCAGTGAGTTCTGCAATAAATACTAATGATGAAAACAGTATAGTGAAGTCTAGTAACACCGAAAAGAAAAAGAGAAGAAGGAATAGAAGGAAAAGACCTATGAGCTCTCAGGGCGGAGGAGATAATGAGTTGGCACTTGAGAATGTAGGAAGTTCACAATTGGTTAATGAAGGCAACTTAAATGTTGAAGGTATTGGCAATGGTAAAATTGAGGTAAAAGATTTTGATGACATAGATGGAAATAGTGGAGCAGGCTGTGCTTCAGTAGCTACTGATGCAGGAGAACAAAGTTTAGTTATGTCTAGTAGCACAGAAAGGAAAAAAAGGAGGAGGAGGAATAAAAGAAGAAGGGCTTCAGCTTCCCAGGGCAATGGAGAAGTTGAAACACAATCTACAAATGATGTTAATTCAAATATGACTAATTTGGATGGTGTGAATGCTACACATGATACCAGTTTGAATATCAATAATTTTGATGGTATACAGTCGATAAATGTCGTAAATTCCACAATGATTAATATGGATGGTATGCAGAATGTAGGTGCAATTAATAGTGAATGTAACTTAAATGTGAGCACTGCGGATGGTATGGAAGTGCAGGAGAGGAGACGGGCCAAGAGGAGGAACAGAAAGCGCAATAAAAAAAGAGCATCCACTACTGAAGGTGATGATGTTGCTCAGATGTCAGAGACGGTAGCCAGTATTGAGCCTACTATTGTCAGTGATCAACCTGCAAAAAAAAGGAGAAGAAAGAGAAAGAGAAATAATTCAGTGCCTGTGGATATGGCAGAAGCCGCAAATGTCACAAACGAAGAAAATGCAGAAATTAGTGATGGTAATATGAAGAAAATAAAACTATCTCCAAATGATGATGTATTACCCACTGAGGAAAATATTGGAGGATCTGTTTCAAGTCAGCAAAAGAAAAACAAAAGAAATAGGAATAGAAGGAGAAGAGCCAAAAAGGATTTTAAAGATAAACAAGATAATAATGCAGAGTCGATTATTGACTCGCAGGAAAATGGAGATGGAATTCTTAAGGCTGCTGACAGTGATCTAAAAGATGGAGAAGAAACTAGTGGTAAGTTTAATACTGAGGGGGATATGGATGATACTAAAGATGAATGTTGTACCACTCAACCTTTGCAGCAGGCTAATAATAACCAGACAAATAAAAGGAAGAGAAAAAGAAACAGAAGGAGAAAGGGGAAGCAGAGTGTGGTGGAGAGTGAGAGTGATGCACAGACACCAGGTGTAACACACACGGGCGAGACTCCACACAATGGTACAGAGTCGGCTCACCTCTCGGAGGAGGGTATTTCCCGAGTATTTGATGAAGAGTTTGATAGTCCAGCTGTTAAGAAAATGAGGAAAGATGACCAGATAAGCACAAGCATTATAAATGGAAGTGCGGCCCCTGCTACTGTGGAACTTGCAGCAGTGTATGCCGATGAAGAATATAAAAATAAAATAAAGAAACATTGGAGTGAAGGCAAAGGACAGTTTTGTGAAGGTAAATACTAGTATAGTATTTATTATAAAATTTATTATTTATTTGTAAACAGTTATGTATTTTCCCTCTATACCTTTTGTACCTTTTCTCTACTAGTTTTAGTTTAGTTCATTTATTATGCACCCCATACCCATGCTGTGGGTGGTAGTGGGAAGGGTTACAGAGGCACATAATGGGCTCAGGGACTGAACCCCACAATTCATTTAGCTAAGTAAGTTACAGTCTTGATGAGCTAGTTACAAAATTCAATGCACATCGTTATATTAATAGTGAAGTCGAGACCGAGCACAAGTACAAAGATACCTTAGGTTTCAAATTTAATCCGTTCTCAGAGACTGGTCGTAAGCAAAAAATTTGTAACCCAAAACAAATTTTCCCATAAAAAATGTAAATTGAATTACTGTAATCTATTTCACACTCCCAAAGATATTAACTTCAAAATACATTTCATACATAATACACACAAATATTTTGTACTATAGTATGTACAAGTTATAGCTTACCTTTATTGATGACTTGTTGGCATATGGAAGATGGTGAGGAACAGGGAGGGGGGGGGGCAAGGAGAGGTGTTAGTGTTTGGAAGGGGAGTCCCCTTTCATTATAACATGAGGCAGTGATGACGTCTCTGAGGTGCTCTCTCCTACGTTCTGCAGGCATACCACTAGGACCTGGTTGTGGCTCACTGCCTGCTTGTCTTACTAAGAATCTGTCTAAAGACACTTGTTTTTCTCTAGGTTTTAACACTTGAAAAAATGTTGGGAAGAAGAGAAAATTGAGCATGCACATTGTGGTGATGCTAGTTCCTCATGATGCTGTTTAATGATGAATGTGCATGGAAAGTAGTTGTTTTTAATACCCTTTGTGTGTGTAATTACCTAAGTGTAATTACCTAAGTGTAGTTACAGGATGAGAGCTACGCTCGTGGTGTCCCGCCTTCCCAGCACTCTTTGTCATATAACGCTTTGAAACTACTGACGGTCTTGGCCTCCACCACCTTCTCACTTAACTTGTTCCAACCGTCTACCACTCTATTTGCGAAGGTGAATTTTCTTATATTTCTTCGGCATCTGTGTTTAGCTAGTTTAAATCTATGGCCTCTTGTTCTTGAAGTTCCAGGTCTCAGGAAGTCTTCCCTGTCGATTTTATCAATTCCTGTTACTATTTTGTACGTAGTGATCATATCACCTCATTTTCTTCTGTCTTCTAGTTTTGGCATATTTAATGCTTCTAACCTCTCCTCGTAGCTCTTGCCCTTCAGTTCTGGGAGCCACTTAGTAGCATGTCTTTGCACCTTTTCCAGTTTGTTGATGTGCTTCTTAAGATATGGGCACCACACAACAGCTGCATATTCTAGCTTTGGCCTAACAAAAGTCATGAACAATTTCTTTAGTATATCGCCATCCATGTATTTAAATGCAATTCTGAAGTTAGAAAGCATAGCATAGGCTCCTTGCACAATATTCTTTATGTGGTCCTCAGGTGATAGTTTTCTATCTAGAACCACTCCTAGATCTCTTTCTTTATCAGAATTCTTTAAAGATTTCTCACATAATATATAGGTTGTGTGGGGTCTATGTTCTCCTATTCCACATTCCATAACATGACATTTATTAACATTAAATTCCATTTGCCAAGTGGTGCTCCATATACTTATTTTGTCCAGGTCTTTTTGAAGGGCATGACAGTCATCTAAATTTCTTATCCTTCCTATTATCTTAGCATCATCAGCAAACATGTTCATATAATTCTGTATACCAACTGGTAGATCATTTATGTACACAATAAACATCACTGGTGCAAGAACTGAACCCTGTGGTACTCCACTTGTGACATTTCTCCATTCTGATACATTGCCTCTGATTACTGCCCTCATTTTTCTATCAGTCAGAAAATTTTTCATCCATGATAGAAGCTTACCTGTCACCCCTCCAATATTTTCCAGTTTCCAGAACAACCTCTTATGTGGAACTCTGTCGAAAGCCTTTTTTAGGTCCAGATAGATGCAGTCAACCCAACCATCTCTTTCCTGTAATATCTCTGTGGCTCGATCATCGAAACTGAGTAAATTCGATACACAGGATCTTCCAGATCGAAAACCATACTGTCTGTCTGATATTATATCATTTCTCTCTAGATGTTCTACCCATTTAGTTTTGATTAGTTTTTCCAATACTTTCACTATTACACTTGTCAATGATACAGGTCTATAATTGAGGGGGTCTTCCCTGCTGCCACTTTTGTAGATTGGAACTATGTTAGCCTGTTTCCACCCGGCTGCTACGATTCCTGTACACAGGGATGCCTGAAAGATCAGGTGAAGTGGAATGCTGAGCTCAGATGCACATTCTCTCAGAACCCATGGTGAAACGCCATCTGGGCCAGCTGCTTTGTTCTTACCGAGCTCCTTGAGCATTTTTTCCACTTCGTCTCTAGACACCTCTATGTGTTCTATGTTGTTCTCTGGAATTCTTATTGTATCTGGTTCCCTAAAGATTTAATTTTGTACAAACACACTTTGGAACTTTTCGTTTAGTGTTTCACACATTTCCTTTTCATCTTCCGTGAATCTATTTCCCATTTTCAACCTCTGAATATTATCCTTTACCTGCAATTTGTTGTTTATGAATTTATAGAATAGACCTGGTTCTGTTTTACATTTGTCCGCAATCCCTTTTTCAAAATTTCTTTCTGCCTCTCTCCTCACTGCCGTGTAGTTGTTTCTCGCATCTTTGTATCGCTGGTATGTTTGGGGGTTCGGCCTCTTCCTGTATTGATTCCATTTTTGTGTCTTTCGGTCTCTAGCCCTCTCGCAATTTCTATTGAACCAATCCTGTTTCCTAGTTCTGCATCTCTGTTTTGGTATAAATTTTTTTGTGCCTTTATCATATATTTCACAAAACTTGCCATACATCTCATTCACTTCCTTGCCTAGCATCAAGTCTGTCCAATTATACTCACTAAAAAAATTTCTAAGGTCACCATAATGTCCTCTCCTGAAGTCTGGTTTTTCAACTGCTTCAACCTCCTTATTTTCTTCCAGCTTATAACGCATTGCATACTTTATTCCCAAAAAGACATGGTCACTTTTACCCAAGGGAGGAAGGTACTGAATGTCAAATATCTCTTCCTCCTTCCTGGTAAATATCAAATCTAGCATGGAGGGAACGTCCCCTTCCCTCATCCTCGTAGCTTGTTTAACATGTTGATACAAGAATGTTTCCAGGATGAGGTCTACAAATTTACAGGTCCAAAAATCTTCTGTTTTAGCTTCATATGCTTCCCAGTCTATGGATTTCAAGTTGAAGTCACCGACTATCAACAGTCGTGATCTATCGTTATCCGCTCTCACTATAATCTCTCTCATTATTGTTATAAGACCTTCACGTTTACTATCTAGCTCCTCCTTTGACCATGTGCTGCTTGGCGGTGGACAATATGCATTTATCATCATTAGTTTATCATCCTCATAGCAGATCTCTAGTGCTATTATGTCAACTTCTTGTGGATTGGCAGTCATTATTTCCTTCACCTTTAGGTGTTCTTTTACCAGCACAGCAACGCCACCGCCTTTCCTAATTTTTCTGTCCCGTCTCCAAATTGAGTAGCCCCTCGGGAATATGACCTCATTTAAAATTACATCTTCAAGTTTTGTCTCCGTGAGTGCAACAATGTCTGGTGTCTGCAGCTGTATTACATCACTTAACTCCAGTATCTTCGATCTCACTCCATCTATGTTGGTGTATGCAATCTTCAGGAACTTGTTCCCCCTCTCCTTATTCTTCACTCCCCCTCTCTCTATTGATTTTGTTGGTTTGCCTTTATGTACCACTTTACTGGTTTGCCTACCCCTATCACTTTGTAGAAAAAAGAATTTATTTCTTCTTCATTCCTGCTCTCATTTAAATGTTTTGCCTCGGCGAGGTTCAGTTTCAGCTTCTCTCTATCTTCTTTTGAAAGATCTCGTCTTAATGACCACCCTTTCCCATCCTCATCCCTTTGCAATTTTCTAGCATTCCTTAGTACTTCTTCCATCTGTTTATATATTTTCTCTAATTTTTTTCTTATGAAATAATAAAGCTACCCATTTCATTATGTATGAGGTCAATATTTTTTTATTGGAGTTAAAATTAACGAAGATATATGACCGAACCTAACCAACCCTACCTAACCTAACCTAACCTATCTTTATAGGTTAGGTTAGGTTAGGTAGCCGAAAACGTTAGGTTAGGTTCGGTTAGGTAGGTTAGGTAGTCGAAAAACAATTAATTCATGAAAACTTGGCTTATTAGGCAAATCGGGCCTTGCATAGTAGGCATAGAAGTGCGTTCTGGCTATTAGGTACGATATATATATATATATATATATATATATATATATATATATATATATATATATATATATATATATATATATATATATATGTATGTATGTATGTATGTCGTACCTAGTAGCCAGAACGCACTTCTCAGCCTACTATGCAAGGCCCAATTTGCCTAATAAGCCAAGTTTTCATGAATTAATTGTTTTTCGACTACCTAACCTACCTAACTTAACCTAACCTAACTTTTTCGGCAACCTAACCTAACCTAACCTATAAAGATAGGTTAGGTTAGGTTAGGTAGGGTTGGTTAGGTTCGGTCATATATCTACGTTAATTTTAACTCCAAAAATAAAAATTGACCTCATACAGAATGAAATGGGTAGCTTTATCATTTCATAAGAAAACAATTAGAGAAAATATATTAATTCAGGAAAACTTGGCTTATTAGGCAAATCGGGCCTTGCATAGTAGGCTGATAAGTGCGTTCTGGCTACTAGGTACGACATATATATACATATATATATATACATATATATATACATATATATATAATGTATGGAAGGGAGTACCACTTCTGGCTGGAAGAAGGGGGACCCATAGCCTCGGAGGAAACCACACATAACGCATTGGAGGGAATGTAGGTCCCCTCCAATACAGTTTCTGTGTGTTTTTCTCCTACCACCCCCTTCCCTTTT